ATTTACAAACACTGGTCACAAAAATATTCATAATTTGACTAAGAAACAAAATCTTACATTTTCTTGTAAGATAATTTTATCACACGGAAATATTCAGTTCAACGCAAAAATCAAATAAACCAACAATTAATATTCTGGTCTTCATTTTGTCTTCTCAACACACCATTTAGAGTGGTGGAGAAAACCCGCTATATAAAGAGGTCTAACTCTTCCTCAACTAGCGATATGTGACTAAACTTTAGTACCATCTCTTGCCCTTTTATTCATGGGCCACCATTTGAGATTTCAGAAATTGCTATGGGCATGGCCTATTAGTTCTAATATTGCACGTCACAAAAAATGGAGTTACCATCGACTGTGACAACATGATGCTACTATATTACAACATGGAAGGAGTAGTCACAGGCGTCGATGAATAAATGTATAGGAGGATAGTGTGTGGAGATATTATTGGCCATAGAGGAAAGGAATTACCTGTTCGGAAAAGGTAATTTGGTTTATTCATTGCTGATTTGGGAAATAAGCTTAATGTGATGCATTGAAGGGTAACAAGTTTCATTTTTTTCATTCCTTTAGCTGGAACATTTCAGATATGCTAAAGATATGTAATTATTGTGCAATGCTTATAAAAATGAACAAATATTTCTTGGGCGAATTAGAAATAGCTAGTTTTTACTCAAGAATATTAGCCGTCGAATGAATATCTTCTCATTGCTTCATACTTACGGTCTTAAACAAATCTTAGTGCTTCGACTGGACAGCTCTTAATTGTCCACTTAGAAATGGCTAAATAGCAAAACATATGAATGAATCTAAAATCATTTCTAGCATATTCTTAATCTAAAAACTTTAAAGCTGACAGTTTTGGCATATGGAAGTTATTTACATGTTTGCGTCATGATGAAAATTTTAATATACTAGCACGTGAGGACGCACGGGTTGATTAGTTTAATTCGTAGTAATCAAGTTAATTGTCAGCATATAACAGCACGGGTCTAAGCATATATCGTATATTCAAGATTCACGCCGTCATAGATCAAATAAAAAAGAGTTTGTGATCGGAAAAAATTTCATGCCTCCTTGTCCAGCCAGACGTCGCCTCATCTGCACACACAGGACCTCCTGAATCTCTGACCGCTGCATCTCGTCCTGTCAAGCCAACATTTTTTTTAATCTTTTTGTGAAGTAAAAGAGTTTTTATTCCATGTGATTAGAGTTACACTGAGCTGGCAGGTCGGTCGGAGTCCTTCCGAAACAATATGGGCCCCCGTACCCCTCGGGAGGCAATCGGGGCGACCCTTCCTCCTTCGTTGTCTAGAGCTCCGCCCCCGCTCTCCCTCCCGCCGGTGCCGCCGACTGGCGCGGTCGGGCGTTGCACTCGTGGCGCTGTTGCAAGGAACCCGGCTTGGGCGGGCGTGCTCCGGCGTGGTATGCCTCGGCGAGCGGTGCTTCAGTGCAGATCGGGCGGTGGCCGGCCGAGGAGGCGTGCAACCTTGGTCACCGTGCCTCGCGGCAGGCCGTCGTCGTCTGGGCCGGCGCGACATTCGCCTCCCGTGACATGGGCCGGCCATGGCGCACGGGAGATGGGGGCGCGAGCGGAAGGAGGCTCGGGAGACGATGAACATGACCTCGGGAGGCATGCGGGAAGGGAGGCAAGCTTGTAGTGGCCGCATCCTGCAGGAGGACCTTGGTCGCTGGCGCCCCCTTCTTCCGCGTTGTAGCCGTGACGGCCATCGATCGCCGCATCCGGTCCTTCACGCCGCGCCATCACCGTCGGCGCACACCCGTCGCTGCTGCTCTCCTACGCAAGGATCAACATACTAAAGAGTAGGGTAGGGTAGAGTAGAAAGAGGACTAAGGAGTAGGGATGAGATGAGTAGGGTAGAGATAGCAGTAGAAGACGTGGGTGGCGCTCGACAACAATGACGTGGCAGCCAGAAAAGCTTCAAGATGCGTGCGTCTTACCGAACGGGTGAAAACGCATTCGGGCCGAAATCCCAGATTCCAGACTTCGACACTTATCTATTTCGTTTAAAAAAAATTCAGTTTGCACTTGCACAAGTCAGAAAACATGATCCGGGGGGTTGTTCTCGGCCGTGACTCAAAAATAACAAAACTAACAAAAAAATAGTTTTTGTGCCAAATTCACACATATGATTTTTTACTATGTAATGGGGAGACATCTATAAACATACTAATCCCTCCGTGAATAAATATAAAAATGTTTAGATCACACAGAGGGAGTAGTAACCAAAATAATAATAGATGTGTGTCTAGGTCTCAGTAACTAAGTCCCAGTCAAGTGATATATAATATATAGAAAGAAGAAAGAAAAAAATGAAAAAGGAATTGTACGAATCTCCGTGCAAGATCAAACGAACATTAGCATCGACTGAGACATAACAAAGTCTAAGTTGACTGAGACTTGGCAAAACTGATAATAGATTTCTATCCTTCTCTTGGGAAAAGGTTTGTTTTAAACTGGATGATCACACCGAGACGCAAGCCTCCTTCAACGATTACGAACGGTGCTTTTGGATTTATTGAAGCAAATTATTATTCACAAATGGAAAAGACGAAGCAAATAATTAATGATTCAATCAGAGCCTGAAGTGGTGGAGCGCAGAGGTGCCGTCGAGGCCCTTGGCCCTGTACTCCCGCAGCAGCTCCTCCACCGTCGTGCTCCTGTACCGCGCCGACGATGGGCCGTAGCACTATCTTGGACGCGACCGCGCCGGGTGTCCCGAAGAAGCAGGCCACCGACAACCTCGGCCCGGAGGTCTTGGCCAACACGCGGTGCTCCACGCTCTTGAACCTGTCGTTGGACATGAGCTGCAGGTGGTCGCGACGGGATCTGCTCGGGCGACGGCGGCTCCGGCGCCATCTCCAGCAGCAGGGTGTCGCGCCAGTTGGCTGCCGGCGACTGGAACAGGTCGAAGTTGGAGTTGAACCGGACGCGTCGGCGGTGGTCCCGGGTGTAGTACGGCGCCCTGGCCTCCGCCGGCTCCTCGTTGAAGCGCCGCACCGCCGCGAGCACCTCGGACATGGCCTCCTCCGGCACGCCGTGGTTCAGCACCTGGAAGAAGCCCAGCGTCTCGGCGGCCGCCCTCACCGCCCGGACGGCGTCGTGAGGCCAGCTAGGTCGATGACCGGGATCGTCAAGTGATGGGTTGGTGTGTTGTCGGGCGGGTGGTGGAAGATGGCGGGGACGGCGGTGACGCCCGCGTCGACGAGGCCTTTGACGCCAGCCTTGAGCGCGCGGAGGCGGTCTGTGTCTGTGCTGCTCCTGGTGGTGGTGGACATGTCGCCTGGAATAGCTCTGTCATGTGTGATGTGATGGAGGGTTGGTTTGATTGCCAATGCCGCGGTGGTCGGGTCGGTCGGTCCGGCTAATGGTTGAGATATATTTAGACGGTAATAATCTATTGACGATGATATGTTTATATATAGGTATATTTATAAGTACAATTATTATGACTTTGATTTGCTTCGGTACGATGATGGTGATATATACTGTCATCCGTGATCTGATTAGATACAACTCTTGCCATCTACTTATTCTGATATGATTAGGTAAAATATGATGATCCACCGGCTGCGATCTAGGAGTATTTAATTAACGAAAATATTAATGCCCACACGTGTGGGCGTTTGAACATCGCTCACACGCCTCCATCACCATTCATTTTACCACGTATGAATAGATGACATCAGCAGAAATTGTTTTGATTTTCGGCTTAAAAATGTTGTATCTCCTAAATAAAAAAGCGAACTAAAAATTCGTTTTCACCATTAAATCCGTCTCGACGAGATCTTCAAAACTAGACCCCATGTTGATATGTTTTGACGAAATTTTTTTTGCCCAGAAGTTGCCATGATGTTTACACTGCAGTTGCCATAGGGCTTAAACTAAAGTTGCCATATGACAATTTTAGTTTGCACATCATGGCAATTTTAGTATTTTGATGATGGCAACTCCAGTACTTTGACCATGAAAATTATTTTTTGTATGAACCATGGCAATTTTACGTGCATGTATCATGGCAATTTTAGTTTATGGTTCATGGCAAGTCTAGTTTCTTAATTCTTCGTTTTATAAATGTCAAAATTTACTTTTAAATGTAGAAGAAAATAGCTGAAACATATCATGGCAACTTCAGTGTAAACATCATGGCAATTCATATGCAATAGACATGGCTGCATAAATAGGTTTTCAACTCATAAAATTGCCTACACTGGAAGTACAAACTGCCCAAGCAGTAAACAAACCAAAAGAAAACTATCCCTTTTGTTGATTTTGTTTTCAAAAATAGAAGTTGCCTGCAAACATTATGAAAATTGCCTAACTTGTGTACTCAGTCCGATTTTGTTTTCAAATAGACTTAGAATGCTTGGGCTAGATATGTAATCGTGATAGGTGATCTATTGCAAAGTTGCTTATTGTAGCATCAAAGTTGTCGCATATAGCTTCAAAGTTGCTTGACAAAAAAGTTGGTCGAAACATACCCATATAGGATCTTATTTTGAAGAGGTCATTGTAAGAATCCTATTGGTGAAAACGGAACTTAATTTCGATGCTCAGTTTAAAAGCTGTAGCTTTTTGAATTTTTTTGAAAAAAAATTAAATGCGCTTGATACATTTCCTAACTTGTGTGCTCAATCCGATTTTCAGGAAGGAGCCGTAGCATGATGGAATCACGTGTGAGGTAGAAATCTTCTCTACTAAGTGCTACACGGGATAGGGACATCCTTTTCTTTTTAAGACTGTGTGGACAGAAAATTACTTTATTTGGGTGTGTGCTTCGAGCGACAGCCAACAGATGCTGGCTAGACGCGTCAATTTTGATTGTTGGCTCTCCGGTAACAAGTAATGACCGTTTCAAAATCTTCCACATGTCATGACGAGTATATCACCGTACATCTGTCCCCGTTGAAAACGGACCCTTTCCAGGTCTCCCTGCGAATATATTCCGAGAACCCCATGAAAACTGACTGATGGGCATGGTAGCAGCACAAGACTTGTTAACTGGCACTAAGTAGTATTGATCGCCCAAAGATAATACTTGGATAGTTAGTTTGTAACGCTCCCTCCAATCCCTACGCGGTTATACCTTTTCAAATCATAGTACATTACTACATTATCATTTTGATTCACGTCACATTCTTAATAGTACATAGTTACAGGTAGGACACGTTTTATTCTTCCGTCGTCACATTAGTAATACACTAGCACATATTCCCGTGCGTTGCAACGGGAGAGATATTTCTTTAGAAAAGCAATGAGAGAGATAATTGATGTGTCCATCAAAAATGATCTCCATAGCGGTGCAATAGAGAGAGTAGTTGTGGTCTTCTCGCGGGTCATGTTTGTCCCGCGAGATCTTATATTGGTGGGGTTAGTCGGTGTGGCGGCAACCATCCAACTCGTGCCATATTTCCCTTGGGGTCCGCCTCTGTGTAGGGGTTGTGTCTTCCTCCTCATTTGGTAGCTATGCGGTGACCTTTGGGGTACAGTTGCTTCGATCATTCTCTCTTACGATGGCATAACCGGATGGATTACTAATTGTAGCGCATAAATCTCGTTTCAGTAGCATATTTAGCGCATAACCAGACACCAATGTCCCTTCTCTATTAGGATTTATTCTCTTTGATTATTTTAGCGCTCGCCCATAATTTTTTTATTCGAGCCAAACTAGCATATTCTTTTTTATTGGCCCAAGGAAAAAATTGCTCCCTCGAACTACCCAGTAGGGGAGTGCAGCTGAGGCATAATACAGCCTATGCGACGGAGTAATTTTTTTCTTGGGCCACCTGCATGGGGGCTACTATATGATGCTAGTTGCGTAAAATAGCGCATGAGACGCACACTGGTAGGCGCCAAGACGACATGTGGTAGTAAGTCACGAAAAAATAAAAAAAATGATGACTTGAGGGATCAAAATCATGCCCTCAAAGATCCGACTACGTGCTGCTAGCCACTCAAAGAAACGACTCCTACCAACCAATGGCCAGCTCAAACCTTTAAGATCATACTCCAAGGTCATATTGGAAACAAATTTTTTCTAACCGTTTAAAAAATATAAATTGTTGAACATTCCTGGAAACATGAATAATCTTGAAAATCCCAAACATTTTTTGAAATTCTTCACATTTTCATAAATACACAACAAAATATGAAACGCTCAAAATTCACAATTTTATTAGAAAACATAAACCTTTTATAATATCATGAACATGTTTTGAATTTGTGATTTTTTAAAAATGAAAAATATTTTGTACATTCAGAACAATTTTTGAAAAAAATGTTTCTTGATGTTATTTTGAATTTGTGAACATTTCACTAAAACAAGAATATTTTTCGTATTTCGAACATTTTTTAAATACATTTTTTTGGAAAATCTCGAACAACTTTAGAAAACACAAAGAAAAATGGAACATTATTTTCAAAGTCTAAACCAATTTTTGAATGAGAACAAAGATTTAATGTTCTTAACAATTTTCAGAGCTGTATATATTATAAATTCCCAAACATTTAAAAATCGATTTTGTTGATATTATGAACTTTTATGAAAATTTTAAATTTGCGGAAAAAGGGAGAAAGAAAAATAAACTTGAAAAAAATACAAAAGAATAGGAAACAAAAATAAACAGAAATGGAAAAAGTAAAATAGAAACATAACACAGAACAAAAAAAATGGTTTAGCCCAGCTCGGACGCCCTGTGCTAATTTGCAACTATTTTGAAATGGGAACAAATATTTAATGTTCTGAACATTTTTCAAAATGGAATAAATTTCATAATTTGGAACATTTTTTAAAAAAGTAAAAATTTTATGATATTATGAACTCTTTTGGAAATTTTGAATTTATGAAAAAAGGGAAAAGCGTGAAAGGAAAAAAGAACAAAGAATAAAGAAAGAAATGAAAAATAAAAAAAGAAACATAACACGAAAATAAAAAAAAGTAATAAATTTTATAATTCTGAACATTTTTTTGAAAATTCAAACTTTTACGATATTATGAACTTTTTACAAAATTTTGAATTTACCAAAAAATGAAAAAAAAACTTGAAAGGAAAAAAGACCAAAGAAGAAGAGAAATAAACGAAAAAGAAGAATAGAAACATAACATAAAAGATAAAAGAAGCAAACGGGCCAGCCCAGCTTGGCACCCCCTGTGCGTATTTGCATCTATCTAATGCTCGAGGCGGTAAATAGGGTTTTCCCATCTACATGGACACGAAAATAACTGGGCTGGCTTTCCTATGCCATACTTCGAGCGGCCCATGTACATAATCTGGCATTTTCCTTTTCTAATAGACGAACGGACAAAACTTTAGTACCACCTCGAATAGAAAAAAAATCAATGATGAACTGATGAAAAAATCGGAGAAACGCACCTTGCTTTATTAGTAGGTATAGATTATCCAATTGATGTTGTGGCATGTACATCGCCTTCAAGGATGGCGAGTGTGTGGTGACTTCGCCATGAGGGTCAACGGCCTCACGATGCAGCTCCGCTCGCTCGGTGACACTGTTGACGACAAGGGGATCGTGTGTGGAAGTTCCTGTGAGTCGTCCCCTCCCACTTTGCATAGGTAGCAATCTCTATCAAGACTCTGCTTGACCTGTGCACGCTCTACTTTGAGGACCTTACGGGCCGGTTGCAGTTGGTCGAGGACCGCCTTAACGACGGCCGCGAAAGCTTCATCGGCGGATGGCTTCTTCTCAGCATGCGTCGAAAAAGTGAGAGGCGAAGAAGCGATTGTTTCACGGCGCCTCAAGCGGCGCCAGTAACCCCGGAAGACACGCTTAAAACGGCAGCGGCAAA